CGAAACTCAAGAAGAAGAGGAGGAGAGGGAAGCAGTGAATTATTAGGGCTCCGATACCATGAAGAATGAATATTTTCCAATAATCAATCATGGGAGATTACATGTGTTTATATACATAAGTTTCTTAATGAGAATATGAAACATTAATTAATACACCCTATACAAATATGGTAGCTACCAATATACATAAATCACCAAGGTTCAAGTGACATTGAACCTTGATGTCATGGGATGACCTGGGGGCGCTCCGGTGCCCCGTTCATAAAATTGACGGTTCCTACCCCTCCTAACCCCGCCGGTAAAGCCCCCCACCCGGCCCCGGCCCAAACACACCCCCCACCCCTCCTAATATATTTAACACTAAGTTTTTTAGTGATCCTAGAAATGCTAGGCTTGCTCTATGCACAAATGGTTTTAATTCAAATTCAATGACGGGAAGTGCATATTCTTTATGGCCTATATTCATCATTATACTTAACTTACCCCAGAGCTGATTACGAAGGAACCACATACACTTCAAGAAAATGCAAAAAAATGACAAAAAATGGTGACAGAATTATTTGCGTCATTAATAGTGACGGAAATAACGACGGTTATGGGATGCCTACCACACTTAATGATAGAACTTAAAATCCGTTGCTAAGTATACGTGGGAAGTAGTGCGCGCCCCTTGTAATGACCGAATTAGTGACGGAAACAACACTTGTTAGTTTGGCGACGAAAACAAACCGTCGCTGAGTATACTTTTATTCAAACGCTTCTGTTTTGGTTAGTGACAGAAATAAACCATCGCTACATTCCGTTGCCCCGAGAACAGATCTTAAAACTAGGTCTCCTTTTCTTCACCGAACAGAAAGATCGAAGAGCAGAGCGCAGAAGTAAATTTCGTCCAGGTCGCTGCTGCTCGCCGCCCCCTCGTCGCCGCTCGTCGCCCCCTTCACTACTTCTAGCCGTCCCCTTCCTTGCCATTCGCCGTGTCTCCATCTTCAAATCTCAAGTTTTTTCCATTTTTATTTTACAATTGAAGTTGTAAACAAATTGGACTATAGATTATCTTTTTACACTCGAATACACAATTATTATAGCTTGATGATATAATTAAAAAGTATATTATTATATGTAAGTTTTTTCACATTTTCTTTTATTTTTAAAAATATTAAAATTGGGGGTTTTTCCTCAACAATTTGTCATCTTTTTTAAAAAACTTAATTATATGCTTGAAACTTTTAGTAAATGAATATTATGCTTATTAATGGTTTCATAGCATATTTTAGATATTGTAAATGCTATATGAGAATTGTGTACGTATTATGTATGTTGTTGAATATTGTAGTTCTTGCATTTATATTATATTTTTTAGTTTTTTGTAATAAATTCTATAACTTAATATCATGTTAGTTTTATTTGTTTGAATTTCTCGGAATGAGTGACTTTCACGCGTAAATATCGAGATTGGATGTCTAAAAGACTTGATAGTTCAGGCTTTATAAAATACAGATTGGGTTGACAAAGTTATTCGTGATGTATCGAGGGGACCTCTACTAGTCGTCAGCACATACCCAATTTATTATGTTAATTGTTATCGATTTCACACTGAGACTTGCGGTGCCAAACGTGCCACGTTTAACAACAACGTGTCTGTTGTTGGTAAGCATTCTACTTACTTGAAATGCAAGTGGTATGATCCATGACCTAGAGTTGGAACTAGAATGCACGACAATTATGACTTGGTTGAGGTTTTAAAAAGTGGGATATTATGTAAATCTGAACCATTCATCCTTGCAACACAGGCTAAGCAAGTGGCCTATGTAGAGTATGCTGGAGTAGTTAGTAGGGCCAAAGGAGAATGGTTAGCTATTTCTAATGTAAAACCATGTGGCTGGGTTGAAACCACATCTGACATATAAAAACTCTAGAGAAGTGACGATTTTGCGTACCAAGAAGATGCAAGAGAGCCAGCCAAAATTGTTGAAGTTGGAGCCCACAAGGAAGCTCCACTACTTCCAGAAGTTCCACAGTTAATGGATCTAGATGAGAGTGCAGACGATGAAACTGATGATGTTGAGATATTAATTACTACTGATGAGAGCTCTAGCGAAAATGAGTTCATGTCAGATGATGAATATAGAATACACTTTACTGTAGAAGGTGGTCTTACATTTATATTGTTGTTTACATTTAAGTGTTCATATTATTAATTGATTTACTAATCCTTTATTAGTCTTCTTTGCAGATGGCTGGGGAGTTAAGGGTAAGGGCCAAGCAGAGCAAAGCAAGTCCAATACTGGGAAGTGGAAAGAACTTTCTAGGTTGCGACTTGCTATCCTTGGTGGTCGTAGATCAGGCGGCACATCAGCCAGCGCATCAGGGAGTGCATCAGCTAGCGCCTTAGGCAGCGCATCAGCGAGGGCATCATCTAGCACCACTGTCAGACCGCCCATTGGCCCTCACGAAACGAATGTTACTAGCACCTCTTCTGGCGGGTTTACACATTCCACTGATGAGTCTAGGATGCGCGATGATGAGAGCATGGAGTTAGACGAGTCAATGGAGCACAACCATGACGATGCCATGGACCATGGACCAAGCGTAGCATACTTTGATCGCTCTGGCAGGTG